AGATGGTGGATTCGGCCTGAGGCTATTCTTCAACGACGATTAAGTCCATCCATGGCCAATTTGTGCGGATTTCTTCCGGGTCCATTTTTGCAGACTCCAAAGGGGTACCATCACAGATTTCTGGCGATTTTTCTGAAATGCCATTTTCTTTCAATTTTGTAGGCTACAGATCACGGATTTGGCTCGAGGCTATTCTCCACCGATAATAAAGTCTACTGATCCTATTCTGCGCCGATGATTAAGTCAATTAAGCACCGAATTGGTCCAATATATTTTGGGATGGCATTTTCGTAATTATTTGAACAATTATTTTGGAAAGGCCATTTTCCTTGGATTTTGAAGGATAAAGATGGTGGATACGGCCTGAGGCTATTCTTCAACGACGATTAAGTCCATCCAGGGCCCATTTCGGCGGATTTCTTCTGGGTCCATTTTTGGCAGATTCCAAAGGGGTACCATCACAGATTTCGGGCAATTTTTACGAAATGCCATTTTCTTTCGATTTTGGAGGCTACAGATCACGGATTCGGCTCGAGGCTATTCTCCACCGATAATAAAGTCTGTTGACCTTATTCTGCGCCGATGATTAAGTCAATTAAGCACTGAATTGGGCCAATATATTTTGGGATGGCATTTTCGTAATTATTTGGGAAATTTTTTCAAAAGGCCATTTTCTTTGGATTTTGAAGGATAAAGATGGTGGATTCGGCCTCAGACTATTCTTCAGTGACGATTAAGTCCATCCATGGCCAATTTGGGCGGTTTTCTTCCTGGCCAATTTTTGGCAGACTCCAAAGGGGGTACCATCACAGATTTCGGGCGATTTTTCCGAATTGCCATTTTCTTTCGATTTTGGAGGCTACAGATCACAGATTCAGCTCGAGGCTATTCTCCACCGATAATAAAGTCTATTGATCGTATTTTGCGCCGATGATTAAGTCAATTAAGCACCGAATTGGGCCAATATATTTTGGGATGGCATTTTCGTAATTATTTGAGCAATTTTTTCCGAAAGGCCATTTTCCTTGGATTTTGAAGGATAGATATGGTGGATTCGGCCTGAGGCTACTCTTCAACGACGATTAAGTCCATCCATGGTCAATTTGGGCGGATTTCTTCTGGGTCCATTTTTGCAGACTCCAAAGGGGTACTATCACAGATTTCGGGCGATTTTTCCGAAATGCAATTTTCTTTAGATTTTGGAGAATACAGATCACGGATTCGGCTCGAGGCTATTCCCGACCGATAATAAAGTCTATTGATCATATTCTGCGCCGATGATTAAGTCAATTAAGCACCGAATTGGGCCAATATATTTTGGGATGGCATTTTCGTAATTATTTGAGAATTTTTTTTCGAAAGGCCATTTTCCTTGGATTTTGAAGGATAAAGATGGTGGATTCGGCCTCAGGCTATTCTTCAGTGACGATTAATTCCATCCATGGCCAATTTGGGCGGTTTTCTTCCTGGTCCATTTTTGGCAGACTCCAAAGGGGTACCATCACAGATTTCGGGCGATTTTTCCGAAATGCCATTTTCTTTCGATTTTGGAGGCTACAGATCACGGATTCGGCTCGAGGCTATTCTCCACCGATAATAAAGTCTATTGATCCTATTCTGCGCCGATGATTAAGTCAATTAAGCACCGAATTGGGCCAATATATTTTGGGAATGGCATTTTCGTAATTATTTGAGCAATTATTTCCGAAAAGCCATTTTCCTTGGATTTTGAAGGATAAAGATGGTGGATTCGGCTTGAGGCTATTCTTCAGTGACGATTAAGTCCATCCATGGCCAATTGGGCGGATTTCTTCCGGGTCCATTTTTGCAGACTCCAAAGGGGTACCATCACAGATTTCGGGCGATTTTACCGAAATGCCATTTTCTTTGGATTTTGGAGGATACAGATCACGGATTCGGCTCGAGGCTATTCTCCACCGATAATAAAGTCTATTGATCATATTCTGCGCCGATGATTAAGTCAATTAAGCACCGAATTGGGCCAATATATTTTGGGATGGCATTTTCGTAATTATTTGAGCAATTTTTTTCGAAAGGCCATTTTCCTTTGATTTTGAAGGATAAAGATGGTGGATTCGGCCTGAGGCTATTCATTCAACGACGATTAAGTCCATCCAGGGCCAATTTGGGCGGATTTCTTAAGGGTCCATTTTTGGCAGACTCCAAAGGGGTACCATCACAGATTTCGGGCGATTTTTCCAAAATGCCATTTTCTTTCGATTTTGGAGACTACAAATCACGGATTCGGCTCGAGGCTATTCTCCACCGATAATAAAGTCTATTGATCCTATTTTGCGCCGATGATTAAATTAATTAAGCACCGAACTGGGCCAATATATTTTGGGATGGCATTTTCGTAATTATTTGAGCAATTTTTTCCGAAAGGCCATTTTCCTTGGATTTTGAAGGATAGAGATGGTGGATTCGGCCAGAGGCTATTCTTCAACGACGATTA